AACAATCACACTCCCTGTCATTGACATAATTAATAGATAGTTTAGCTTCTCACCATCATTTTCTGTGGCCCACTGATGTTAACGATCGTAACTGAAAGGCTGCCTGCCAAAAGTAAACATTCAGACACGTGACTTACAAACTCTCGCAAGAGTTTTACACAAGGCGGATCCTTTCTAGCCATAACCGCAAAAGAGGGGTATGAGCAGCATGAGGCATGGCTACAATGGGTGATCTGTCTGGTATTTTAAGGAAAAAACTTCACAGACATGTTTTGTATATACTGTATGGCCCTACAATATATTTTTCCAATATAGCATAATAGGTCCACTTTAAATAAAAAGCCAAAAGTGATGTAGTAACATTATTATTTATTTGGATCATATTGTTGGCCATCTGGTCCAATATTCACTTTTTTCAGCTCTGTTTTAGTTCTTTAGCTAATCTTGTTAATAGTATTTGGCCAAGGGATAGTGTTGCAATTTTTTTTAAATAATTAATTGTAGCCAAATTAATATTAGCTTGTTAGTAGTGGCGTTGCGACCAATGTTAGCATTTTGGCGTCAGCATTTTGGCTCACAAATCCTCACAATGACGCTTGTGTGGCTGTACACTCTCAGTTTTGTATTTTCTTAACTTTTTTCATCTTTTTTTTTGATGAAGACACTTGAATCTCAAAGACCACTGCAGTCCAGATTAATTCCAGTTGAGTAAAATGTATTTTTGCCTCACTTTAACACATAAACAAGAATGAACACATCCTCAAACACACTCCCACAGATACATGTTTACCTACAACCATTTCCTCATTCCCTCAGTCAATCACTCAATAATTCACCCGAAAGCACACTTATTAAGAGAAAGTGTGTGTGTGTGTGTGTGTGTGTGTGTGTGTGTGTGTGTGTGTGTGTGTGTGTGTGTGTGTGTGTGTGGCATGGCTGAGTGTAGTTTCTATTTGTCTGGACACATATAACAAGGCTCATCAATCTTCTTCAGGGACTGTTCAGAGTTTGGATTAAAAACACCTGGGCCTCCGCAGGCTGACTCATGAGGTGGAAACACGCTCCTGCCCTGTCAGAATAACGAAGAACGGTCAGCCTAACACAACCTCAGACAGATAGAGATGGAGACCTGGGCAGGGTGCAGAACCAGGCTGGCGCTGCGGTGCTCTGGGAGCTGTCTGTAATATTACCCCTTTCTTTAGAGCACCACTGGAAAGAAAAAGACAGCTTAGCATATGAACCTCTTCATTCAAACCCATAATAAATCTGTTGGAAAAGATTAGAGTTAGAAGGAAGCAATAATTGTGCAAGTAAAAAAAATGCACTTATTGAGGTTAAAGCTGTGACTTTCATACAATGTACCTCCTACTGGTCGACGATTGAAGCAAAACATTGAAAAGTCCCAGCAGTGAGAAGGATGTCGGCTTCCTTTGTGGTCTATTTGCTTTCCTGAGCTGTTCCTGGCTCTCACAAAGATTAAGTCAACTACAGAAACAAGAAAAGGTGAGAGCTGAGGTAGACAAAAAAGTGTGCTCATGTTGAAAGGTTGGTTTAATCCCCAGAGGAAAGAAGAACAGGCAACCTGAGTGTGTTTCATAAATACATTCCTGAGCAACGCTGAAGCAGTGCAGATAATGAAACTTGCCTGAAGGGAAAGATGGAATAGTGTATGTATCTGTCTGCATTGTGAGCCTGTGCACATGTCATCATCTGTGAGTGTGTGTGCGTGTGTGTGTGTGAGAGAGAGAGAGGTGCTTTGACCCCGGTCAAGTCACTTGACTTCTCGGCACCTCTGCCTACCCCAGCTGTATCAACACGTCCCGCTCTACCCAGGCAGGCAGTGGGCCGGCGGTGTGTCAGGAGCCTGGCTGTAGCCCACCACACGGAGACTGACTGGCTGTTTGTGTGAGTATGGGTGGAGGGGATAGAGGGTGGTGGAAAAGAGACCTGCACCCCTCACCACAACTCAGCTCTATGGAATTCAAATGATTCCTCTCCACCCCCACTGGCAACCATGCCCTGAGTAAACAAGCAGCTGGGGTCAGGGGCAAAGCAATCAGCACCACCGGGTAGCTCTTAATGGATTGCTGTGTTTGCTGACAGGTGGCTTGGTGGTGCCTCCGAATCAGTATGGAATGAGTAGAATCCCCTTTTACGACAAAAAACAATGATGATGTTACATTGTTCTTCAAACAACTTACATTTAAACTTTCAACATTTTTTAATGTTGGAATTTCTAAATACATTTTCACTATGCATTTGAGAACTACAATAAAACTGCGAATTACAGCAAAGGGGTGATTCGGGACACAGTATTAGACATAAACACCTCATGATTCTCCTGCACCTGAGGTCTCAGCAGTTTATAGTCTTCGTATCATGCTTCACTCACCATGGTCGGTAGCCGGAAGAGGATGTGGATATGGGTGGAGGAAGAGAGTGGAAGAATGTTTGTCTAGACATATAATATGAACACCAGAAATACGTTATTTAATAGTGTATGTCTGTAGGTGAGAGTGAGAAGAGACACACTTTTACATAGTTTGAGGATATAACTTTATTTTTAAAAGAACCTAAGCCGTTTAACAATCTTGACTACCTCACTTGACCTTAGTTAAAAGCAAACTTCTATTCCATTTTTCAAGAACTGATTTGCTGAAAAAGACTTTGCTTTCATTCTTAAGGGTGACACAAATGTCACACCACAGGCAGCACTGCATGAGCAGCTGTTGAAGATAAGATGAATGTTGGATTTCTATCCTCCGGGTGCCTTTTCAAAAGGATATAGGGATGTTGGATGCCCTCAGCAGTGACATATGAAGAAAAAAGTCTGCTCCTTTGCTAATCCTCTCTCAACCTCTAATATCATTACTGCAGGAAATTCATCTTGGGGGAGGAGGAATGAATGGGCCTCTTTGTTTTATTATTATTATTTCTGGCACGAAGAACCACACACACGTCTGTGCAGCGCTGACCGAAGGTCTTTACCCAGATGGCAATGGTGCTACAACTTATTGTACAACAAACACATCTTTCAGGCTTTCCAACCAGCACCGGCCTAATATGGGCTGGGACAGGAGCCAAACAATGCATTACCTCTCACCGCCTAACCTCCACTGCTTCCATCTCACATAGTTAGCCGTCGGGAGCATCCCAATCCCCAGGCTGATTTACTGTCCGAGGGATGCTATGGGTTTCCTTCTCCAGAGTACACAGTAGCCACCGTAGGGAACAGCATACAGGCAAATATCCTTTATGGAGAAAGGGGAACATTCAAACTTGTTATTACTTATCAAATATTGTATGGTTGCCATTGAATGACAAATGACTATTTAGAGTTGAAAGTGTTCGTGGGGCCTTGAGTGCTTGGGTGTGCGGTTCTGTACAGTCTGTGTTCTGACAGCTGGCAGAGAAAAAATTAACGTGGCAGAAACCTGCCTTCCACAAAAAAAGCAGTCAATAACAGGAACTCAATCAAACTGCCCTGGTTTCCGGTAAGCTATGCACTCTGGACTGCATGGTCTGACAGAGGCTGGCTCGCTGAAAGACTGGTTGGCGGCAGGTCGGCCCCCACCACAGCACGGACAACTCTCAGTTGGCTCCGTTGTACCACATTCATTTGTACCTCGTCTGGAAGGGGTTTCGTCTTTTATTCAGCTGGGTTTAAAAATGTGCCTGCACACTGCAATAGTATGCCAAAGAAAGTACTGAGCCCCAGCCTCAAGTCAGGTTAATGCAACACAAGGATTTGAGTTATCCTGTGCTTGCTTTTCAAGACACATGAAGTTATTTAAAATAGAACATGTTTGGAAACAGACACTTGCTATAAGTGTAATTAAAATTTAAATAAATGATAAACAGCAGTTATTTAATGATATTCCACTAAAATGTATCTGCGAATAGTATGTTCTGTAGTGCGTCTTCTACGGTCAAACGGTCATGCCGGCCTGCTCTGTCCTGGCTGAACTCCTAGAAATCACATTCTTTTTCCAAAGATTGGTTAAGTCAATTATGTTTCGATCGGAAAAGCAAATTTCGGCCCAGATACATTCACATGTCAGGTCACTTTCTTTCTTTAATCTTTAATATTTCCATAAACGTAATCAAGGGCTGTGAATGCGTGGACATAACCACATAAGTCAAAACGAACAGACACAGGGCAGCGTAAACATTCATTTTAGAGTTAACAGTCATATTATGATTGTTAGTCTGATTATACACTCTTCTATGCTATTCTGTGAAATGTTGTTTGCCTTTAGGTACCATCTCCAAGGTACATTAAGGCTTGATTTACAGCAGTACGTCAACCATTGCACAACAAAAAATCAAAGTGCTTTTGTTTTCCCCAGTAACTATCGATCCCTAGGTAGTGGAAATGGCAGACCAGGTTAAATGTGGAAATTGTATCCAACCATAGAGGCCAAGAAGGCTAAGAGGGAAAGGGATTACAAACAATGAGGTAAAACAAATGCAGGGTGTCCTGTGTTGTTACTTGTTGCTAGCCTCTGAGGAAAACTGAAGCAAAGCATTTTGGACCACAGGTTGGATGTCTGCATAAAGCTCTGCAAACTGATACCGATAGTTACAAGTACGATGGTGTTCAGCATGCTTGAGGTGGGTGTAGCGACACGTGGCCCCTGATGTCACAGCCAGTAAACCTCCAGAGGGACACGCAGTGCAGCGCTGAGCTCTCCTTGGATTCCACAGCTCCTGTCATCACCTCCACCTTGTTTAGTCTAAGTGTCACTGTCTATCAGCTCACCATTAGACAAAAATGTTCCTCCTTTTTCCCTGCAGACAAAGGTGAAAGACAGTGGCCTGCAAATCGAATCCAGAACTGAGACATTAGAGATGTTTATAGAACTATTTAATGTAATGTTTTCAGAAATGTACACTGAAAAATATGCTTTCCTTTCAGTTGCACCATTTTTTAAAGACAAATAAACCAAAAAAGGGACTCCAGGTGCCATATACACAACATTATCTTCTCCATTCAGCATTAAATACTTTCAATTCTACATGCCATTCAGGTCTGCAGAGGCCAATAAAATGTAGTTTTTTGATTATTATCAAATGGCACAATTCCAAATTCATTCTTGTTTTCTTGTTTGCTTTTGTCAGATGGTGCTCACATGTTGTCAAGAAGACAGTTGTTTGATGACACATGATGAATTAAGGCCTA